TTTATCTTCAGACTGAGTACGTTTGTGAGTGATGGACAGGAATCTTATCAATTGATTGATATATTATTACCAATTCTACGACAAATTCCACAAGAAAAAGCAGTAAGTGCCTAGACTCTTTTTTTGGGTGTCAACTATAAGAATGTATCTTTTCTCTAATGTATCAAAACACTGATATTGTTTTTTAATACCAATTATTATTAACTTTTGTGATCTTATATTTTTTTTGAAAGTGATTAAAACAATTTGTAGATAATGAAAAATTATGTCTATTTAGTTCAAAATTAACAAAAAAATTATACATGTAAGTGTAAAATTCTTTATTTTAGCTGGAAATTATTTTGCTGGAAAAATATTTTGGCTGTTTTGTATGATGTTTACATTCATTGATTCTGATGTGTTGAATGTAAATAAATGAATTTTCAGCGAAAATAAATTCCAATTGAAAATAAAGTATTTTACAGTATAACTGCAGACAAATGTGCAAAATGTTGCACATTGCCTACTGGCACCATTTTTTAGCTCCGCTGTCGACAAAGTCGAGCGGAGCTTATAGTATTATTGATTGTTCGTCGGTGCCCGTCGACCATTGGCGCCGTCAACTTTACATTTTCGACTTCTTCTTAAAAACCACAAACTGTATAGCTGTGAAACTTTCTAGGAAGGTACCTTGGGTGGACCTCTCTCAGATTTGTTCATTTCTTGATGATATCTTTAATTCTCTAATTTTGATGAATATTTTTGTCATTTTTGGTAAAAAGTAATATTTTCAACTTCTTGTTAAAAACCGCGAGTCCAATTTCTTTGATATTACATATCTAGGTACTACATGTGGACCTCTTTCAGATTTGTTCATTTCATGATGATATCTTTAATTCTCTGATTTACATGAATATTTTTGTTAATTTTGGTAAAAAGTGATATTTTCGACTTCTTGTTAAAAACGGCAGGTCCAATTGCTTTGATATTACTTATCTAGGTACTACATGTGGTCCTCTCTCATGTTTGTTAATTTCGTGATGATATCTTTAATTCTCTAATTTTCATGAATATTTTTGTCATTTTTGGTAAAAAGTGATATTTTTGACTTCTTGTTAAAAACCGCAAGTCTAATTGCTTTGATATTATATACTACATAGGTACTACAGGTAGACCTCTCTCAGATTTGTTCATTTCGTGATGATTTTGTTCTTCAATTATCTAATTTTAATGAATATTTTTGATAAAAAGTTATATTTTCAAATTTTTTTTTTAAACAGCAAGTCTGATTGCTTTAATACTATACATATTGTTCATTTTCTAATGATGTCTTCTGTTCTTTAATTGAAATGTGCATTGATAACAGCGGCACTATCTCAGCCAACAGGCTGCTTGTTTACATTCATTTCAGCTATCTGTGGAGGGTTTGAGCAGACGATGTGTTAACAATGTCTTCTGATTATTTGTGATTTGTTTTCCATTACAGGATTTATTATTGGAAATACTGGGAATTGTTAAGAAGTTAATTATTCATTGTAAAAATCCACAAAACTTTCTCAGGTAAATGTACCATTCAACATTTCTCAGTATCGTAAATATTGTGTGTCTGTTGAATTTGGCAGCAATTCCGACAACTGTTTTTCATATTATCATTTTGTTGATAAATATAATTACCACAAAGCATTGGTAATGCTGATGAAGAATTATATGCATCCATCCATGCATGCATCCGTCCATCCATCAGTCCGTCCATGCATTCGTCCTTCATCATTTCTTGGACATGTCTTGACTAATCAAGTCATAATGGGAAACATGGCAAACGTTAATTAATTTTTGGCTGACTTTGACTGACTGGTGGCCACTTTAATCACAAGAAACACCAAAAATTAACATTTGTCATGATATCAACTGTTTCTCAGGCATGCCTGGACAGATTGCATTAAAACTTAATATTGGCATCAACCATGATTGGTTATTGATTCAAAATGGCTCATTGATGGTCAATTTTTTTTTCACAAGTCTAGGTACACTTTTTCGGTTTTTGTTTAACTTTAGTACTAAGGCTAAATTAAACATAAAATTTCAACCACCACTAAAATTATTGTTATTGAATATTCGTATAAGAGTTGAAAATAATTTTAGATTAACCCTGACTAGATTCAACCAGTAATTTATTGAAATCAACACTTGATTGAGTAAGTGATCTACTAATTTAATATATAATATATTGATTGGAAATGTGAAATTATTTTATTGTTACAGACCACTGAGCAAACTGTTGTCATGGTTATCAACAACTCCATCAAGATCTCTTTGCTGCGATATAATTACATTGATAGGTGCTGCTGATGAGAAGGTTGCTGAACTTTGTCAGTTAATTGTACAGGTTGGTACTTCCATGTACGCATAGATTAGTAACCATTGATGTCTTGAAACATAATATAAACTGGGTGTTGTACAATAGTGAAATAACACCGAATACACATCAGGGTAAATACTATATCAAATCAATGTAAACATGTATTGTGTGTGTGACACAATACTCGCGTACGACACCTAATCGCCTAGCTTCACGTCATGGCATGTCTTCCTGGCGGCCATAGAAAAAAGGATGCTTAATTAATAACTGAGATTATTACGTGCAAAGAGCGTGAAACCTGTCCACACCGAACCACATCACACAGCTAAGCCAGACATTGTGGCAAAGGTCTTCAGATCTGTCTGTACTAGGATGGTGAAAACCGGGAGTAATGGTACAGCATTATGACAGTGAATAAGTGCTGCTGATACATGCATACGAAGTAAAGCACGTACATGTAGATAGCACCGAATACATGGCAGGATAAATACTACATGTATGTTGCAGAGATTGCGTTAACCCAATATTTTGCTTCCCAGACTCAAATTATTGAAGAGGCAACCAGTTTTTCAGGCAAGCTGGGGTCCAATCTCTAATAAAGTTATCCAGGGTCAAATTTCAATTTCTTAAAATTTTGTAAGTGGGACTCGTCTTACAGAGACACTGGCGCAAACCTTGATGTTGTATGTGGTTGACTTGTTCTTCTCAAATCATAGATACTTTCAGATCATCTTCGAGCTGACTGTTCAATCATTGGTATTGTTCGTTCATTTGTTTATTCATTCATTAGATTCAGGAAAATAACATCTCACTTTGTACTGTTCTCAGTGCACATAAATGAACCCATTGTAAACAGGTTCTCTACTGGTCCTAGTATGAATTTATCATTTACAACGAAAATTTGGTGAACGTACACACGAACAGAATATCACTTGCATCAGAAACTTCCAAAGAGGTATATTTTCAACACAATCATAATAATAAAAACTAAGTCGCTACTTCATGTGTTTTGTAGTTGAATAAGGTGGATAGACGCCGGTTAGAAGAGCCTGATTACACTGTCAGAATATCGGCATATACTAAGATATCTTCAACAGTCACAGAAATGGATTACGTAGATTTGAACTATATCATACCCATTATGCACAATTGCTTCTATTTTATATCTAAAGTAAGTAATGTCATTTCATATTATAATAATGTTATTAATTGCTTTTGATTCTCTTCTCTCTTGTTACTATGACAACTAGGGTGATATGCGATGAAAAATATAATTTTTATAAGTCCAAATCCAAAGTAATACAGAATCTGCACCTTTTGTGTCACAAATCACATGTTACTTTCTGATATTAATATTTCACTAATCTAAAGTTTATTTTTCAAATATTCACAAATGTGTGAGATCAATTTCCAATCCAATTTGCATTAAGAATATGATAGTGATTTGGATGTTCAAATGTGGTGCGGGAAATTTTGTCTATGTTCACAAGACAGAATTTCATCACAGTCATATGCAAGTCAATTACTCTGTGTCAAATGAACTAGGATCTTTTGGTATTTCCCATCCCATTCTATCATTAATGTTCTTAATCCTAAATTTTGTAAACAGAATTTCAATTCAAATTCTATATCCATTAAACTGCTTTGCTCCATTCTATGAAGACCAGATTCCGTCAGCTTGTCATTTTTTTTTTCACTAACAAAACGCGTATATGACTCAACCCTTTCAACAGGTTCTATGGTTCTATGTTTTACCCATGAGTATTTTCAACATCATATCCTATATATTTTTTCTATGTATTTCTATAATTTTGTTGATAATTTTGAATCAGTTGAACATAATTCCTCACTGGATACAGGTCTTGACGAAAATTTGGAAAAAAATTGAAAAAAATTAGGCAGGTTTTAATTTGTGGAAGGTGACACAAAAGTTGAATTTGGCATTCAAAGAGTTAATTATTTAGTCGTTGTATTTTCTAAATGAGCTAAACTAGATTTGAATATGCAAAGTTAGCCAGAGAATTTGATGATGTTTTCTCAGAAATCAATAAATTTATCCCAGCAACATTCAATATTCTGAAATGAAACTCAGTAAATAAATCTTTTTTATTGTAATAAATAATAATGTTATAATATGAGGTTATTATGAGGATACCGAAAAGTATGCACAAAGACAGTAAAGTGGGAGTATTGACCAATGCGCAGCAGAGGTCGATGCAACTGCATACTGTCTGAGTGCATACTTTTTGGTATCCTCGTAATAACCTTATTATTATAAATCTTTTCTTCCCAATAGTACATCATGGAAATGCCGAAATACAAAAAGTTTAGAACAGATTGAGCAAACCACTTTGTATGGGGTCCGCGAAGTCAAACCCTTGGGGCTGCCATGTTTGTTTTTATTATTAAAGGATGCTTATGTGCGTAATCGTTCCATATTTGGAATTCGCATTTCCTTATATGGTAGGATGAAAATACCCTGTAAAATAACTTAAAATTACGTCACACTGTAACTTAGAGCGTTACGCTGACAGATGTATAATAATATTATATATTGTCATGTTTTTTTAGGTTGATGATATGTCACTTCGTGATAATTCTTCAAATATTCTACAAATAATAATAGAGAGAATATCCAAGGAGCCAAGTGACAAGTTACAGTCCTTGTTTGAGTTATGTGTGAATCAGATGATAATACCAGCAATAAAGGAGGGACTCGGCAACAAGATGGAGGTCTGTGTTTTACCTTGCTTTGTGCTAGTCATTAACTAAAAATAGACAAGGTAGCCGGATTTGTGATTTCTGAACTATAGTCAATTTCTTTGATTTTTAGTGTGTCAGACTGATCAGTTTACTTTCCCATATGATTTGTTGTTTAAACTTTGTTTACTAACACTTTTAAATTGTAAATTGTGTGGAGAAATTTGGAGCAAGGGAGAATCGTTTAGTTTTTCTCACAAAGGAATTCATACATATAACAAACATGAGTAAGAAACATTGAAACTATGCCTAATTTAAATACTGTGATATATTTTCAGAACGTACGACATGAATACATACTACTGTTGACCAAACTGGTGAAATACTTCCCAAATAAGTTTCAAGATTTACAAGTTCTTCATGATAAAGATATTGAGAAGGATTTCTTTAAAAACATTACTCATATACAGGTGAGATACTGCAAATTATTTTTGTTACTCCTAGTTCACAGTATAATTCAGGGGTTCATTTTATGGAAAACACTTTATGAGGTAATGAGATATTGTTCCTACACTGTGAATGCTATAATTTTAAATCTTGTGAAAAAAAAACACAAAACACAAAATAATTACTACTATCTGTGCCAATTTATTGGCTATTAACAGCTTCTCTCTCATAAGAATGTAAGACATGCATTTTGAATTCAGCAAAAAGTTTATTTTCATATAAACGTTGTGCCCCTCATCTTTAGAGATACAATCAGTCCCTCTTTCAAAGTATACTCTCCTCGCTATATCCCAAAACTATTCTATTTATAGGTTTTCTAAGCACTTGTATTTTTGATAATATGGTAACTTTTTTTTAGCATTTCATCTTCAAGCTCATCTCATTGACCTTAATCTTCAACTTTTTTTCTTACAGCAACATCGTCAAATGAGAGCCCTTCGTCTGGTCGCTCAAAAATGTGAGACCAAGGAACTAGGGACGTACGTCCTGCAGACGTTTTTGTTGCCATTAGCAACCAGTGTGATATTTGATGCCAACCTCAGTAAAAATCATCAGCTTGTCTTGGATGCCACTCTGACCATTGGTGCTATTACCAAGTGTTTACCATGGCAACCGTACATCAAAGTGTTGAAATATTACCTTGGATTGTTGATGACTGACACATTGCCTCAGAAGATGACAGTCAGGTGAGATGTCAGCAATCTTTTATCTCTTTCATCTAAAATTTCCAGCAACCGATAGTAAATAGTCAGAAAATGTACTTTCAATATTTTATGTGGTTGTCTTTGATTAAATATAATCCAAGAAAAAGTTGATCATCATTTGATATCATCTTGCAAAAAAACACAGAATTTATCTAGGATATAAAACAGCTTGGAGATCATCGCACATTGTCAGACTATTATTGGTATTGTAATATTTGATTGAGGATGATGAGGATGACTTGGACATTACTCGTATATTAATTCAATCTACAGACTTCTATTGTGTTATACATACATTGATATTGTTGATAAAAATGAATTCTATTTCAGATTATTAGCAAATATTTTGGACAGTTTCCATTTTGACTTGACCAATTATAAGCCAGCAATGAAAACAAACCCTAAAGATGTTGATGAGGGCTGTACTGGAAACAATGATGAAACAGGTGAGAAAAGTTAATAATTAGAGAAAGCAATTTACATGCTTCTTAAACATTGGCTATCCAACCCAGACTCCAGCATGTCTAGCCAATCAGAGTTGGTGTTACTTTGTTACAGTAAAAAAAGCTTCTGCTTATTTGCTATATCCAACCTTGACAACTAAAACTTGAGCCAATCAGAAAAGGTGTTATTTGGTAGTTAGTAATTTACATGCTTCCTATACATTGGCTATCCAACCCAGACTCCAACATGTCAAGCCAATCAGGGATGGTGTTACTTGGGTACAGTAAATGCTTCTGCCTATTTGCTATTTGTGCCTGATTAACTTCCCAACCCTGACTCCTTACAGTCACACCATTCAGAGAGCAGCTTGTTTTTTGACATTTTTTCGACGTATCAAATTTTGTCTTTTATATATATGCTTCAACACAATTGGGCACCTGTAGTTCAATCCAATCAGGTATGGTATATCTGATCATAATTTGCTAGACTCATCCTGATTGGTTAAACCAAAAACTATTACCAAGAGTGAATACAGTATCTAACTTGTGGGTTTTGAGATCAGTTCATTTATATTCTGCTTTGTAGAATTGTTATCTTTAATGGATGAAATGCGTCTTCACATTACAGTTACTGAGCAAGCTGCAGATGAATCCAAGTATAATACCATAATAAACAAGATATTACCAAAACTTGAGAAATGTCTAACCCAGAAGGTAAAAGTAGTTTCATTATTTCATTCCTAGACTGTCGACAGTCCTGGATTTCAAGTTGCTAGTGACATGATATCAAAAACTGCTGTGGAAAGTGTCGCAATCGCGTATTAGTACAGTCAAGACAAACTTTGCGTAAGTCGTGGGCGATCCTAGTAGCCGGCGATCCCTGACCCTTTTCACGATTGGTCACGATAAAATGATAGACATCTGCGTGACTATTCATTTGCAGATGAAAGTACCCAGATCTGGTAAGAAATCTTACCAGTGAATTGCAGCACCAGACAGTCAACGGCACTCCATACTTCCTGTCCCGGCGTTCGCAATTTATTCCCGCCTATTGCGTTTATACACAATATTTATTAATAATAACAGTTTAATATTAGGTATGACAGATTTGTAATGATGAGTTGTTTTTTACAATTTTGTAATTCGTCAAGTATTTGGGTAATCATCAACCCTGATTTTGGTAGCACTTAAAAATATGTCAAATTCGTATCAGAATCAGAATCAAAATAAAATAAATTTATTAAAATATCTTATATATGTCCTTTGATATTATTCTGTAGGTCGATAGCGATGATGAACATCGTTCAGTTCGTAGCCATGTTGCCACGGATACTGAGATTGTACGTATACCTTTAGCGATCGCAATAATAAGATTGTTATTAGCGTTACCAGTGCAAGTCAGATATCAACATATACAAAGGTGAATAACTTTAACATTTACTCTATCACTGCATTGAATACAAGACTGTTAAAATGATACACATAACAATTCACAGTGTGGTGGTATTAATATATTGATATTGAAAACAGAACATTTTTAGAACACATTTATAGTACAGTATGTGTCAGTAAATGAAAATTATCATTCAGATGAATCTAATTACCAATGAGAAGAGATGAGAACTAATAAGGACTTCATAGTTATCTTGCCAGACTCGTTAATGCTTCGAAAATAATTAATTTTGTTGGTGGAATACTGGTACTGACCAAATTGCTGTTACAAAATGTGCAAAATACTGGCCAACAAAAATTTGCCCCCCCCCTCCCTCACAAAAATGTTGTTCAAACTATTGATCCACATCGATTATATAATAAACAACATTTTTCAATCTATGGATTTTCCCAAATAGTTTTGGACGCTGTTTTTTAGCTCCGCTGTCGACTTTGTCGAGCGGAGCTTGTCATATGAGTGATTGTCCATCATCGTCCGTGTCAATGTTTTACTTTTTCGACTTCTTCTTGAAGACTACAAGCCTGAATGCTTTGATACTTGGTGTGTATGTACCTTGGGTAGACCTCTCTCAGATTTGTTCATTTCATGATCATATCTTCAATTTTCTAATTTTGGTGAATATTTTTGTCATTTTTGGTAAAAAGTTATATTTTCGTCTTCTTGTTAAAAAACGCAAGTCCAATTGCTTTGATATTACATATATAGGTACTACATGTGGACCTCTCTCAGATTTGTTCATTTTGTAATGATATCTTTAATTCTCTAATTTTGGTGAATGTTTTTGTCATTTTTGGTAAAAAGTGATATTTTCAACTCCTTGTTAAAAACCGCAAGTCCAATTGCTTTGATATTACATATATAGGTATGGTACTTCATGTGAACCTCTCTCAGATTTGTTCATTTTGTAATGATATCTTCAATTCTCTGATTTGGGTGAATATTCTTTGTCATTTTTGGTAAAAAGTGATATTTTCGACTTCTTGTTAAAAACCACAATCATTTATGGTGAAAAATGATATTTTTGAATTCTTGTTGAAAACAGCAAGTCCCATTGCATTGATACTATGCATATTGTTCATTTTTTAATGATATCTTCTGTTCTTTAATTGAAATGTGCATCGCTAACATGTATTACAACTTATCATTCTATCATTACAGAGTTGTTTTGAAGCTGTGTCATTCTTTAAAAAGTCGGTCCAGTGATATACGCGAATCTAGTAGAACAACATTGATCAAGGTCATGTCTTATTTAGGAACGGAATATATTAAAAATGTTATTGGTGAATTACAACATACCTTGACTAGAGGCTATCAGGTAACTACTTGTACTGTAAACACATTAATTATTCATTGGTTTTTAATTTTGCGATTTTCTCTAATCGGTAAAATTTTCTAAATTAGATCCACATGAGTAGGTAAAATAATAATAGGACTCATTGTTTCCCGACTAAGTTTGTTAACTTAAAACCCTGTGAAATTGTTCAAAACATCAAGATAGTGACACTAAGATTTTTTTGTTATTACTGCTTACTATCATTTATTTAATGCTTTGAGCTCTGTACATTTTTCCATTTAAATATTTTTTTGTGGTTTAAGTTTTTTTCTATCAGTTGAGGACCAAATAATAATTGGGCTTATTGGGTTGATAAAGGTTTTCTTTGGTGTTCAAAAAGGGTTGATGTTACGTAAATTCACTTTTTTTACAAATCATTTATAATCTAGTTATAATTAAATTTATTTACAAATGGCCACTGGCAGCCATTTCGTTAGTGTGTGTGTTTGATTAGTGGGAATTGAAAGTAACCTTTACATATTTGAATGCTGGTCCAGAAATAGTTAAGAGCCGGCTCACCTTATGCAGATTAAACTTGAATTCAGACCCAGTAACTTTAATGCCAGCACAAAAATTCAAATTCATACATAAGAATTTGAAATATTTTCAGCCTGCTCACAGACACATGTTATGTATGTTTTACAGAAACATGTACTGACATTTACTATCAACGCAGTGTTACAAGGGATAAGTGATGGACTCAAACCTGGTGATCTGGATACATGTGTTGATATGCTTATACAGGTAAGTGATTGACTCATCCAATAATAATATTGATAATGGTTTGCTGACTACGTTGCCAGGTTTTAATAATCCAATGCAACCAGCCACGTGTGAGGCCAGTACCAGCCGGTTATGAGGCGTCCAGCCATGACAAATGATTTTTTCTACGTTCACAGATTTGTAATGATGAGTTGTTCGGACAAATTGCCGAAGAAAAAGAAGCAGCAGCTATTACGAGGAATCTCATGGAAGCTAGAAGTTCAAAAAGTTACGATATATACCATATATTATCCAAGTATATATCCGCAACTCATCTGACAAAGTTAATTTCTGCAATCAAAACAGTGAGTGATAGAATTATTGTATACTTGATTTATGATTATTGTAAATGCCATTTAAACCATTACATTTTCGCTGCCATTAATGTGATTGTGCTTACGAAGACAGAAAGTCTTTGCTGTGAATATACTCTATTTTTCTGTTACTGTAAAATACTTTATTTTCGTTTGGAATACATTTTTTACTGAAAGAATGATTCAGTGAAAATAAAATCCAGTTGAATGGTTTTTTTTGTTATAATTAAAACCTAAATTACAGTCAATCCATTGTTCCAAGAAAAAAATCTGATGTGGACAAATTTTGAAGAAAACCAAAAACAGCACAGTTCTGTGATCGGTCGGTCAATATTCTAGAAGTCAATAATTTACAAAAATTGGCAGTATGCAGGAGTAGGCAGAATTTTAACGTCAAGTTTTTACGATACTGTGTAAAATTAGAGGAATGAATTAAATATTAGCTTCCCTTCTAACTGCACACTAATACCCTAATAGAAATATCATTACGTTTTAGCAATTATTCACAATTGCTTTGTTGACCTTATTGATAGGACCTCTAATTTGCCAGATGTTGAGTAGATTCAATTCAACATTTATATGCCATACTGCAGATATTTGTGATAACAAATACACTCAATTTTATTTTGTGGTATTTCCTTACAGGTTTTAGATAACACACACAGTCATAAGACTGTGAAGAAAGTAGAAGACGTTCTGAGAAAATTTACTCTTGGTTTGCTGGAGAATAAAAGTCTAGATGCGAAGGATATATTATTATTCATACATGGTATTGTTACGCAGACGTTACCGTTCATGATTAAAGACACTCAGTAAGTAACATTCAAATGGTCGGTGACGTACCTCGCACCATGTGACATAGTGACATATTCTCAGGGCGGGGCTACGTCACAGAATGTTCCACGTTGCTAAGACGCTCAACTCTGTACCATGTATTTCTATGGGCTCTGTGCGAACTGCCATGCAAATTTCAAGTAATGTTTGATATTTTAGTTGCACATGCATTTATGACAGAGGTGTGTCTAAAAGATGATATACTGGGATTTATATGATCCATCATATCATCTCTATCAAAGATACATGTATGCGCTCCTAAGAGATCAAATACATTACATGAACATTGTCAATCATCTTGGGGATAAATTGTATGTGCATTTCAAAGCTTTATGTCAGGAGGATTCACATCATCATTTGATGCAGCAGCAAACATGCACTACTTGATTAGTCATTGCATTTCTTGTTTTTAAACACTACTTTATTTACCATTACCACTACAGAGAAGATAAAAAATCTACCAAGTCTAAACACCAACAACACAGTGTATTACTATTGCCGCAGACACCACAGAGGAAACCTAAGGCAACTGTACATAGGAAAACCAATCTACATGTTTTGGTAGAATTTGGATTACAGGTAGGAATTTATCCATTGACGATGATCAGTGATGATGTACCTGGGTTTGTAGGTGACTGCAATTTACCCAGCAGGCCATATGCTAATAAACTTGTCATGATTGTGATATACTTGAACTTCATGGTCTACCTTGTTCCATAGACTTGCATATAGTCCCTTGTTTATTAGTCCCCATTCGGACACTGTCCGATAGCGGGGACTTATGTTTTGACCTCCGTGCGTCCGGCTCTGTATCTTAGAAATGCCTGACCAATCACAATCAAACTTCACACATACATCATACATGACGTTATACATATGCACATCAATTTGTTTCATGATCTGATTAAAGATGGCCGATGGCGGCCATTTTTGTTCTAAAAATCATCAAAATAAAGCATTTCTCGGCTATATACATTGGACATTATAGGACCTTGATGCACATCATTTTGTTTTTCAAATAAGATTCAAAATGGCTGACTGGTGGCCATTTTGTTTTAATGAATGTGGTTCTAGTACCATATCTCTGACTTGCTGTGGCTGATTATGTTCAAATTTTAAATATTCATTATACATCATGTCATAGATATACAGATATATTGGTTTGACGATCCTATTGAAAATGGCCGAATGGTGGCCATTTTTGTGCTAACAAATTATCAACTATCAAGCATTTCTGGCATTTATGGATGGATTTTGTTCAAACTTTGTACATACATTAAACATTATGGGTTCCTGGTGCATGTTATTTTATTTCTTAGATCGGATTCAAAATCGCTGACTAGTGGCCATTTTTTTTAATGAATGGGCTTCTAGAGCCATATCTCTGACATGCTTTGACTGACTATGTTCAAATATATTCAAAATGCCTGATTTTGTTTTAATTAATGCTGTTCCAGAGCAATCATCATATTCCTGACATGTTTATATTCCAGCTATATTACTATAAACAAAACTATATATCTTAAATTCGATAACTAACTGGGACTGTGACATGCATGGCTTGTTTGTTGTTGTTGTTTTCTCAATAAAAGAAAATGTTGTGGGAGTGTAAATAGCGAAAGACGAGTTACCGTGAATTACCTAGAATGCTATATACTACACACAAACATTTTGTGTGGGGTTATGCATAAATTATCTTTTATCATTCGAAAATATTTGAAATTTTTGAAACAGAGAACTATGAAAAAGCTTGTCTACAGAATGTAACTTTATGTTATAATATATATAATGATAATATTTTGTTTACAGTTACTAAATATGTCATTAAAGAGAGGCATAATTATTGGTAGCGACAGTGAACATTTATCGATGTTAGACCCGCTGGCACCGTTGCTGA